GACGCTCTTCCGATCTCCCCAAAACCCCAAAACCCCATTTTCAAAAGTTAATAAGATTAGAGGAGAATAATATCAATATATTTTAATTTTAAAAGTAATGCCAAAAAAGAGTGAGGAAGTAGAATTAAAAAGTAGAGACACTGGAGCTAAAGTTAAGGTACAATCAGATGATTTGTTTGCCCCACAAGATAAACAAGATGGAGAGGGAACTAATAAAGCAGCTAAAAAGCTACCTTCCAAGAAAAGGAAGTCTTCTAGCTCAGAAGAAGAGGATTCCTTTGAAAATAAATATAAAAACATTAAGCAATAGAAATAATTTCGTAAAAAGCAATAGTAAGATGACGAAGAAAACTAGTAAAACTAACCAGGAAACCCTGACTTGGAGTAAGATAGACCAAGAAGAAGGTAGAAAAGAATGGACGCTGAAGAAGAACCTTTAAATTAGGTTGAAACTGAACCTGTGAGATAAAGACAATCAAAGTAAAGATAGGTTTACGATGAAAATGAAGACTTATATGAAGATGAGCTATACTATGAAATGACATAAAAGTAAACTAAGATATGGTAGATTGAACACTATTAACCTTATTTCAATCTCAGCACCTTTGAATTATTTGTGAGATTGAGGAAATCTTTATGGCCATTTTGTACTAAGTCACATTTATTTGCAGACGAGGATGTAGTTGATCTATATGGCCCACTATGGATCATGCTGACGCTCATAGTTGAAATTGCTATAGTAGGATTTATCGATTACTAGATTGATATCACAACTGCAGCTATGGATTTGAAGAAAGGAAAAATTAACTTAGCATTCGTCACTTATTCTTTACTGAAGGTAGCACAGGCAGCTTTCGTCTGTGTTGCTTACTTCATTCTTAACCCCTTACTTTTATTCCTATTGATAAAGTATGTTTTGTGGGTATCAGATATTTAATACATATGGTTATTTGCAATTTATGGTTATTCTTTTACCATTTTCATAATAACAACAGGATTGAATGTAGTTCCAATCACTTGGCTAAAATGGGTCTTCTTAGCAGTATCTGGCATAGTTAGTCTATTTTTCATAGTATCGGAGATGTATGCACTCATTAGAAATAAATTAGAAGCAGGGTTCTTTAAATTCATATTTGTATGCCTGTTTTTAGCGCTTACTCACGGAATATTTGTGTTAGCATTGAAGTAGTACTTCTTAACATGATTGAATGATTGTCTGGTTGCACTTTATTTAATTTAATTGCCCTTATAAATACAATATTCCTAGTTCAACTATAATTCTATTAAGCTATTAAATTTTTAATACAGTTTTATGAATTTAAGGAGTCTTTTTAGCTTCTAAGCAATTAAAATAAGAGCGAGTATCTTAATTTTAAGTAAATTAATAATAAAAATGAATGATCTAAGAGTGGTATTAAAGGAGTAAGAGTTATTCGGTGTTGATACACGGGCTTACACATATAGCTAGTTTAAATAGATAGCTAAATTCAATCCGACCTAAACAGCAGAATAAATGTTTCCTGGTAATTATTTATGAGACTAATGACTATAGACATCATTTTGGATAAGCATGACAAAAAGGAGATGATAAAAAGCTTACTAAAATACAACCCTAATAAGCCATATGATAATAAAAAGATAAAGCAAATTGAATAGGATCTTAAATCAAAGTTTCTTAAGAAAAATCAAAGCGAGAAGGCATTTAGCTTTATGGTAACAAATGATCGAAATTCATTAGAAAATCCCTAGCATCTAAAAAGAGAGTAAAGCCAACCAGAGTTTAATTCAATAATGATCTAGAAACCAAAGGATAACTAGGTTATATATGAGAGACTCTAGAATCAGTACAAGGATTATGTGGTAGGGGGTAGCAGTAATTACTAATTTTACGCTTAGAAGAGGAGGAATAAGAATCTTGAGTTGTTAAGTCCATTGAATAATAATTACAACTCGACAGGTTAGCTTAATGGGGATTCTATGCCAAATGTAAAAATAGGAATTCCCCCAACTGAAAAAGCTAAGAGATTTATTTACGACAAAAGCTCTCTAAATAAGTCTACATAAAGAATAGGCATTAGCTTGCCAAGCCCTGTTGTTTACAAGAATTAATTTGGTCTGAAGAACTAAAGCGAACTTAAAAGATATGAAAATGTGATTGGGAAACTATAGTAACTAGCTTTGAGATTAGATTTAAACAAAAATAATATTGATGCATAAAAGCCAATTCTGAGAAACTTTAACCAATTACATAACATAAATATACCCCTACTAGAGGACAATCAAAATGAATATGAAGAGAGAATAATAAGTTATGTAGAAAAAAGAAAATTCTTGGAGATTAATGATAGTATAAGGCAACTCAAATCAGTTGATGATCATTTCGCATATGCGATAACAGGTGAAATAAACAGAGATTAGAATAAAACAGTTATTTCTGCCTATAATGATGAAAGTGTAATGCTTAGTCAGACAAGAAATACATCTTAATTGGATAAATCAAATTCTAAGAATAAGATAGTATACAATGAAGGTTGTGGAGTTGCATTAGTTAATGAAAAACAAGGTCAATTCGATGCTACTACGATTTAATATTTTGAAACAGGAATATCCTTGACTAAAGTTTCACAATATATGAAGGTGGTTGCTGATATTAAGAATTATGTGCTTTTAGAGGGAAATCTTATGAAGATCTATAAATTTACTGAAGATGACCATGGGAAAGGGAAATGGATTGCAATCAATTTACAACCGGGTGAGGATTACATTTTCGATTAGAAGACTTTATATGCAATTGGAGCTTATCAAAATTTAACATATAATTGAGAGCTTTTTTAATTTCTTAAATAATTAAAATTACTATAATCAATTAATTATCTGAATATCTATAGTTTACAAATATATGACAAGTAAAATTGATACCCTCAATAAGTTAGCCAAGTATGATTTAAAAGCTCGGCAGCAGTTGGTCTTTTTTCGTATTCCCTTACTAAACAAAGCCTAATGAAATCTTTGCAGTCGTCACTAAGATCATCAGGTATAGTGGGACTGCTTGTGGGGTCTGCTATCTTAAAAATAGCTTGAAAATTATTTGAAGATAGCTGGCTTCCCCAGGGATTACCTCCAACTGCTAGTTCAATCATCAGACACCCTAACGACCATATATCAGCTTTCCTACGAATGCCTTTATTAGTCACAACTTCAGGAGCCATCCAAGGAAGTGAGCCTCTTATAGCTCCGTTGAAGTCTGACATACTAAAGGAGCTTTCGAAAAGCTTTGCACAGCCGAAATCTGATAACTTTACTACTCCATTATGGTCCACCAATACATTGGCTCCTTTGAGGTCACAATGAATAACTTTATTTTAATGCAAATAATTTAGACCTTCTAAGATCTATCTCGTGTAAGCTTTAATTGTATCTTCCTATATATTTCCGTAATTTTGGTATATTTATTGCAAACTTCCACTCGACATGTACTCAAGATAAATACAAAATTGGTTGCTAACAAGTTCGCTTCCAATATATTTGATAATATGCTAGTGTTCTAGTTTTCTATACACTTCAATCTCTTTCTAATATGATTGTTTAATCATTGATTGAATGACTTACTTTAAGTTTCATAAGTGCTTCTTTGTCAACACCTGAATTTACTGAGAATAAAGAAAGCTTTTTTACTACGAAAAAGTTGAAATTTTTAACATTTTATGCAATGAACACTTCTCCTTAAGTACCCTAACCTATTTTTTTCAATTCCTTCCATTTAACAAGCTGTCCTTAAATTAGAACAGGAGGTTTTTCTGCCATAGGTGCCTTTTAAATATTAAGAACATCACTAATGGCTGGCTAAATCGACTAGTTTCTTTATCTTATTTATTCCAAGGATAAGCCTCTAGGTTGAATCTAATTATTATTTATCTGTAATTTATTAGCTTAATTCAATTCCTTTTTATATTCATCTGATTTAGTGTGCTTTTCAGAATCCTCTTTCAGCTTTTTACTTGTTTCGTGACTGCCGCTACCACTTCCATTTATGTTTATTTTGTATACCAATAAATCATTAGACTAATGTGATCCAGAGGATTGCATAATTTGTAATCTCCTTCTAGAGTTGACATCTTTAGCCACATTATTAGAGCTATCTCCTTTTTCACTGATTCCGTTTTTACTTTTGCTCGACATTTTTGAAAATTATGATCGCTTTTCAGATGCGTTACCATTTGATCGAGTCTCATAATGATAATGATTTTTGTTCCCAGAAGACAAATCTTCTTAACTTACTCTTTTTTATAATTTTATGGATCCGCCCATTCCACCACTACCGTTAATTACTTTCCCAAGGCCAATATGCTGATTAAAAACACTACTCCCACTACTTGGTAATGCAGAGTTTAGCTCACCTGACTTTGCTATTAAACCAGCATTTATCTAAGAAAATGAGTGGTTTAAGCTAACTGAAGGTATATTCTCTTCAATTGACTCTTAACTGCTCGATGATCTTTTTAAATATGGGTTTTGAAATTTTTCAGCATATATTTATTGCTTTGAAATTTCAAAGCAATTTTCAATATCGATGGGAGCTAAGCCTGAAATCTTAGATAGACTCTCAATTAATTTATCGTACTCTGGGGTGTTTTTTATAACTATGCCATCCTTAATCTTTTTGAATATGACTTTAAATGCTTCAGATTAATACATAGCTTTTTTAAACTGACCCATTAGAGGACTTTCGGTGCTTTTCTACATGAAATTTTATTTAGCTAGTCCTATATTCTTTTCTTTATATTTATTCCCACTAGAAAGAGTAGTAACACTTTAAGAAACAATTTTACTTCTGTCAAGTGTTTTATGTCTAATTTTGGAGATTTAGCTTCTAATTTCACTATTTAAAGCCTCTTCCTCAATTGTGTCGAGATTAATATCCTAAGATACATACTATTCATTAGGGTTAGCCAACTGATATCTATCCCTTTATCTGTTTATATCATTCTTGCTATTGTTATTTACTTGTCTATTTTCATCTAATTGAAATTATTTTCTTTCTATACTATTGTATTGTATATTCTATTAATCTAACTTGAATTCATCTTCCTTTATCTTTTATTTGGTCTACTAATGTTATTTGATAAGTCTTTTTCTCTCTTCAAGATTTAGAGTCTTCATGATAATTTAATCTTTATCAACGAAGGATCGCTTAACATGTGAGAAGGAATCTCTTTTCTATTAAGTGTTTTCATTTTCACTTTCTTCATTTAAATTTTACTCCAGTCTTTTTGCGAATGGTTCAATAGAAAATGAATCATTTTTCTTTAGATCTTATTAAAGTTAATTTTGTTATTGGAGTTATTGGTGATGCTATATTTACTATTTTGTTGATATTTAACCAAGATTTTGATTCTATTGAGATATATTTATAGTTGAAAGATTGTGAGTATTATTATTGATATTATTGCTAGCATTTGCGCCACTTGTTGGATTTTATGTGATAGATGAGGTATTTAAATTGTTCTAATTATTAGAAGGTTGCTAGTTATTATTGCTGCTATTCTAGTTATCAAGGATAAGTTGAGCAGTCTAAAATCTAAGATTACTAGGTTTTTAAATCTTTTATTAAGGATTCATTTTGCGAATCTTAATATCTCTTATTGTCACTGCATTTTCTTAAGATTCATTCAGAACATTTTAGATGTTATTTTAGTTTAAGCTTTGAAGTTATGACGACTAGCCTTGCTTGTTGCTGTTAAAAAACTCATGAAATCTTTGGCGCTAAATTTGAATTTATTTAGGAGATTAATTGTCTTCTGAATGCTATTAGCCTATCTGATTTATCCCAAGATGATGAATACTACTTAGATTATTGTTTGGATTGTTGCCTAAAGTCAATTGATTTAGATGCTGCTATTGTAAAGTCTATGATTGATTATTTTGTTGCTAGTTATTGATAGTGTTGCTGTTTGGATTTTAAGAGAAAGAGTTTTTATCTAGATTTTTGTGCTTCTCAAAATTAAGGTAATTAGATCCTCCTTTTAATTGTAATTAGGATTATCCACCTCCTATTATTTCTCCCGATATTTAAAAGTTATTTCTCTACTGCATAGTGTCATGATTGAGATCGTTTTGCATTTATTTGTAGGTTCTGTTTATATTGGACAAGCCTCTAACTTTCTGTCCTGGATTAGTAATTTGTACTTAAGGCTTTGAACCTATGTTATGACCACTTATCCCTCCAATATTGCCGATGACTGCCGTCACATCATTGCTATTATTTAATGCAGTGATGTTATTTGCGTTTGCTGATGGCTTATTTCAGTGAAATGTTGACGTTTTTGTTGATAAATGAGGGAAACCAGTGTTAGCAGTAGTTGATCTATCAGAATGATCGAAACCATTAGAGAAAAACTATTGTTATTGTAGACTCTACTATTGATCAGGACTATGATTTTATTACTCCCTTTGCAATTGACTCAGTGCTGCTTATCTAAAGAATAATCCTGTGTTATTTGGATACGCTCCATAATTTGCCACTGTAAAATCTTCTTACTAGATGGTTGCTTACTAATTATAAAGACTTCCCTAATGAGTTTAATTTTAAACCTTGTTGTTATTGTTGTTCAAGATGTGCTTTTAAACGATGGGCATTTTTAAATTGAGTTGCCTCTGTGCTGCAGGGACTTATTTATTCTGCAGATTCATAATATCATATATCATCTATGTCTAGTGGTCATGCTACTTCTGGTTACCTAATTACTGATGTGTTTAAAGGATTGACTGGTCTGTTTACAGTAATTACTGCGCTATTTAATTAGAATGTAGCCTTATTTTTTGATCTTCCTTTAAAGAATATTTCTAGCTAGGCTGCCTCATAATTCAATTATTTTATAATTTTTAGATTTCAATACTTACATCTTAAAGATTTTTCATTATTCTTCTTCAAGGGGTTTTGGGGTTTTGGGG